CTGAGGATCCCAGCTTCAAGCTGGTGCCTCGTATGACGATATCAAGGCATCTGTCAAGGCTGCCGCAGAGGGTCCGATGAAGGGCATCCTTGCCTATACCGAGGATGATGTAGTCTCAAGTGACTTTATTGGCGACGCGCACACTTCGATCTTCGATGCTAAAGCTGGCATCGCACTAACCGACAACTTCGTTAAGCTTGTATCATGGTATGACAACGAATGCGGGTATTCCAACAAGGTCCTCAACTTGATTGAACACATGGAAGAACACTAATGTACACGGAGTTGATTTACCGTCGGCGAGTCTTAATCTAGTGACTTACTTCACGCAGCCGCCCATTTACTGATGGGGTGGGGCCGCAAAGCACAAGAATTATCGTGCTCGTCGCGCCACCCCCTCCGACTCGCGCCCACGCCGGGAGCAGGTTTTAAAAGCCGCTGGTACTGTCCTAGTCTGGAATTACAGGTAAAGAAGAAATTAGTGCCAGTGAGCTTGGACAGCCCATCATAGCGTGCGCCGCCGCAGAGCAGAGTCGGAATCGAGGCGGATTTCGCTTCTAGATTTCGCTTTTTTCCCAGAAGTGAACTAACAGGGCCTAGGAGATTCTTTTTTTCTGCATACGGAGAATACCCCCCGCAATATTTCCCGCGATCGAGCTAATCACACTTATCGATGGTTCAGGATCGCCGGTAGGGCCGTTGCGCGCCCCGCTGAAGCCGTTTGAGTCTCGACAGTATTGGTACGCATAGTTGTGCCGCGTGGTTTGGCCTGCAACGGCGCGGAACGCATTCGCGGCGGGCGGTAGCGTGCTCAAACCGCACGCTTTGCGCGTGGTTCAGCGATCGAGCCGTTCTCGCGCTCTGCATCGATTCCTGCGTTTGTGCTTCGCGTACGTCGGGCCACAAGGGTTTTGAAGCTGCTGTGAGCAGCTGACGCTATACCTTTGCAGTGCTCGTTCGTGCCGTGCACTCGTTTCCTGCCTCGATACAGCCGATATGGCGCGCGACGACCGCGGCGGTTTGACAGCGCTTACGGACGCGATGCGGCTCGTCGAGGGCGGGGACGAGGTTGAGGAACCTGCTGCCGCAGGCGCAACGCATGTCGTCCCCGTGGAGATACGGTGCTGGCTTACGAAGTCGCACGCAACATAGCAACTTCCTTTGGGTTATTGGCCCGGCTTTCGTCCCGGGCGCCCAACTGCGGACACCATATCCCAGCTTGTCAAATAAATATACTGCAGGCAACATCGTGGAGTGGCTTCGGACAAAGGCCATACGCCACCTCCTGTCCTCGGCCAATGAAAACGCTGGAATGTCCGGGCGGTTTGAATTTTATTAAATATTACTATCCTCTATATGGGAGATAGCACCAGGCTTGGGGCCTTAAGCGCGCGGTTTTTTTTATTATGTCCACCCCTGCGCGCCCTTGGCTTGCCCGCCCCCCTATAAGTTCGCCGACCCTGTATTATGTAATGAGACTGCGGTCCTGTAAGCACCGCCCAGATCTGCAGTTGAGCCCGCTGCACAAGCAAAAGAGTCTGGTCAGTCCTGAAATTTCGCCAGTTGCCACTTAGCCGTCCTTGCGCCGCCTGGATGCAGTTGTCGGTCGACCAGACTTGGGTCTCGTCTTGATGCGTGAACGGTCTTCGATTTCGTTACCATCCAGTGTAGTCTTGTCTGCATCATCGTTCGTGTAATGTTGGTACGGGTTTGGCAGGCCGGTAGGGGTAAGTTTACCAGATGTCGCATCTTCTGCATCTGGCCGGTCGCGCCCACGGCCAATGGCTGAGCCAGGGCGCCAGGAGTTCCCGACTTTGGGTCGTCTGCGATTGCCAGCAAACTCGACCCCTCTGATTGCCCAGGTGTCTTCCTCATCATTCCAGATCGCATGTCGCTCAAATTTTCTCTCTTCCTCGGGAGGCACGAAGTTATTCATCAGTAGTTCTTTTAGCTTGAGCTGCCGGGAGAGTTGGCGGATGGTGTCAAGCATATCCTCGCGTTCGCGCTGAAACTCTTGCTGCATGTCATGTGCCTCACCTTGGCATGTCTGAAGCCGCTGCCAGAGCTTCTTGAGCTTTCGGGTTTTGTCATCGGCTTCGTCCTGTTTTGTAGCATATTTCTCCTCAAGCGCAAAAATATCTTCCTCCTTTGCACGAACCTGACGAGCGAGAGCCTGCTCCTGCTCTTTCCGCTCCTCCAGTTCGAGCTGAGCGCGACGCAACATGGCCTCCTGCTTCGCCGCCTTGTCTAGGAGTTTACCACCCTGCATGAGTTTTTCCTGCATAGATTGCAACTTCTTTTCAAGAGTGAGGCGCTGCTTCTCCGAGTGTGCTGCACGATCTGCCTCTGCATCGAGCTTCTGTTTTAGCTTTTCTCGCTCTTTCGTGGTGCGAGTCTGGGAATCCAACACCTCCTTCATCTCGGCTTCCGCTTGACGACGCATTTGTTCAGTCTCTTTGTTAGCTGCTGCCTTGAGCTCGGCAAGCTCCTCTTCTGTCGCTGCACCTTGTACTTCAACAATTTTTTCAACCTCAACAACCTTCTCCACCACTCGTTGTTCAGTGACTATCTTACCCTCGCCAGTGCCACAGCCAGAGCCATCCGAGCCCTGACTCGCCAGTTGCTCCTTAAGTCGTTTGATCTCATCTTGGAATTCCCGCAGCATAGCATCTTTCGGGTCCTCGTTAATTTTTGGCTTATTCTTGATGTTCTTTGCACGATTCGCATACCGGAGTGTAGAAATTGTCTCATCGAAGTTATAGCCTGCCGGACCGCAATTGGCGCACATCACCGTCTTTGTGTTTCCGCCCAATGAATCTTGTAGTAGACGAGTCAACTTTGAATCACGATATGGAATATGCTGCGACTTGCCATCTACTAGGGCCGAAATAACGTTCCCTAGTGCAGACAGGGACAGATTTATCTTCGTTGCTTCCTTCAGCCGATCGCCTGTGGCCCCTGTCTTCGCTTGACGTTCCGAGCCGGCCAAGTCAACAAGATTTAATTTGCCCACATGTATGTGCTCACCACGTTTTTCATCCACCTCTGCGCACTCCACGATGATGGTGAAGATGGCGTGGGATCGCGAAGAACCAGCATTCATAAGCGTCGCGCCCACCGATCTATTCTTCTTGCCTGCCTGCATTACTTGATCAATTTCATGCGATGATTTCACCACAAACGAGGTAAGATCCTTCACGTAAACGCCAGAGTCTACATTTTCTTTTAAATCTAATCGGTTCTTCGGTTCTTTTGACCTATGTAATACTTGTTTTACGTCAAGACGCAGAATGATCACGAGTTGACGAAAGATGATACTCAGACACATGTAAATACAAAAGATCACGAATTTCTTCATTATAAATTTCGAGGTAGGATGCGCGCACGAGAAAGTGCTGATGCTCCTCGGCAACTGCAACCTTATCGAAGATATGTTGGAAAGCGTTGGGAATAATACCGCGCAATTCAGGGGGGTCCGGGACGCCTTCCATGGTGAAAGTTTTCCCTGCCCCTGTCTGACCGTATGCGAATATAGTTCCGTTGTAACCATTGAGCACAGCCTCGACGACCGTAGCACCGCACTTGTCGTAGATGGACTTCTGTGTACAGTTTGCTGCAAAAACCGCATCAAAAGTAAATGATTTGGGTGGGTCCGACGCATCGGCCTTCGGGTTGGTACAAGTAATGGTGCCTTGCGCCTCCTCCGCCACAGTTGTCGCGATATGCCCATCTTGCTGCTCCTTTCGGGACAGCGGGCGCACTCGAACGACTACCTTGACGCTCTCACTGGGCATATTTAGCTCACACGTCCGGACAGGATAGTCAGCGGCCAGTTAAGACCTTGGACCATAAATGGGGATGCAGCTTGACGATTGACGGCCGCGCGAGCTCTTAGAGCGAGCTCTGTCCGGTTCAGCGCTCAATAAACCAATTGGACTAGTCACTCCAGATTTCGTGGCTACGGACGAAAGCGCCGTGGGCGTCCCATGGGCTGCGATCAGATGTCGAGTAAAATCCCGCTTGGGGGGTCGGGTTTGTAAAATTCGACTGGGTCCGGCGGGGGCGTACTTGGGGAGGCGTCGGGCGACCCCCCCTAGGTCCCCAGGGAGCTCCTGGCACTTATTTTCTGGGTCGGTCGGTCGGTCGGTCGGTCGTCGTCGCCGCCGCCGCCGCCGCCGCCGCCGCCGCCGCCGCCGCCGCCGCCGCCGCCGCCGCCGCCGCCGTCGTCGTCGTCGCGCGCGCGGGGAAGTTTCGAACTTAATTCAGTCGCAGGGCGACCGCAGAGAGGTGATGAGTTGCCCCATGCCAGCTGTCACGGTATATGGACCCGGGAATGCAAAAAATCGAGTCGGCGCGCCCCGCAGTCGCAGTGATCGACAGTCGCCGCAGAATGCCGCCAGCAGAATTTTTTGCGCCAGATCTGGGCGTGAAATCACCACTTGCAGCCCCATAGCGCCGCACGACGACCCTAGCGTGCATGGCCCCCAAGGCGACCTTCGGGGGGGGGGGGGCGGTGCCTGTCAGTCGGAAGAAACGCGACGCGAACCCAGCTTCTGCTCGACTCGGCGCCTCTCGGGCGTGCTCAAACGCGCCCCGCGCCCCAGATTTAAGGGCAGGATACCCGCCACTTACCACCCCCGAGTAACAAGCCAGAATCGCGCCCCGATCGGGGTCGCGGAAGTCGCCATTCATTTTGGTTACCGCGGCCAGCGGCGACCCGGAGTAGGCGCTACCTGGACGCTCTCGGTGGGCACATTCAAGGAGGGCCCTGGGGTTTATGTACGAGCTCCGCCGCACGTGGCATGTCACGGAACATACTCGTGCTTGGCACCGCTCTGGGGGAGCTAGATCGCACTTTCCTTCTATCGTGAGATTCCTGTCACCTCAGAACGTGCAGTCATATTCACCGGGAACATCGGCTGCCTCACGGAGAAGCTTCCGGTTGAGTAATCGCTTGTTTTGAAGCGCGGTCAATNGTTTTTCTGGCGGCGAAGATCATTT